TCGGCTCCATGGCAATTGAACTGTGTGAATAGGATCTGAGCGCTATTCGGTAGTTTTGTGCGCTCAGATCCCAGCTATCTGGGGATATGTGAAATGTCTGTGTGTTATGTGTAAAAGGTGACTTTATGTATTTTAAAGTGTTTTATGTCTTTTTGCAACCATGTGCTCAATGGAGTCTGCCTCTATCCCTGGATAATTGGATTACTTTCCCCCATTGTCTCCAGGATAGAGGGCTCTGTAAAACCTGTTTGAGTCAGATATCCATGTGCCAGCCAGGGCCCAAAAGATACTTTTACTAACTTTTGAACCCCTGGTCGGATTCATGACATTTTATATGTTGTTCCCCTGAATGGATTGATTGTGAATATGTAATTTTATATGAATGTGATGTATGGTTTTAAAGTTATGAAAGTTGGGTAGAAAGTATGTTTTAACAGTATGTGTAATTGAGTTTCCTCTCAGGATAAGGGGAGGGAATATGTGGGATGTAACTGATATGTGATTGGTTGTTTTATACCTCCCTGTGGGCGGTCCTGTATGTGAAAGACTGTAATAAAAACCAGGCTGGGTGTGCCAGCACAGAGTTCCTGTTTAACCCTCAAAGTGAAGTGTTGTCTCATTATTGGGGGAAGGATTTATTGTATGCTGTTCCAGTTTGACTGCTAGGAGAGTAAACCTATTCGTATGGTTCCTATTCAACTGTCTACAGCATTCATATGCTTGGGAGAATTTATTTGTTTCTCCGGTTCGGTGATTGTGGTGTCTGCCAGAGTGCTTGGAGTCCTCAGGAAGCGCTAGGAGCATCCTTCAACGGAGGTACCCAGTCGGGGTGCCAGGCGATCCGTTACAATTCCGTACCTCCAGAAGTTGAGTAAGTACTTGGGAGGTCTCTCCCTGTTGTGTGTCTGGTATTTCACTATCTGCGGTGGAGGCTGGTGATACGGAGTCTCGTGGGCTCACTCGGAAGCCATTTTTGCAGCTCGTGGTGTGCAAGAGGCAGCAAAGAGGTCTGCCATGGTTAGAGGTCTGCCATGCTTCTATGCTAAGGATAGAGTGCAGATTATTATGATAAAAATGTTCCGTTAATATGTTGAACATGGCCAATTAGAAAACACTAAAAAAAAGTCTACTTGATAGGCACTGTACAATGAATTTATATTTATAAATTGTTTATTTCATAGACTAATTGTGCTACAAGGTACTAGTCATTTTCAGACAGTCAACCTCATCCTGCAAATATTGCAGCCTGCAATATGACTCTCAACTCCATGAGCCTTCAACAGAAAACGCATCTGTGTATCCTACCGGAACTATAAATGGCACATATGTTCAACAAAGCAAAACCAGCATTTAAAGCTTCTTTTATGTTAATACAATAGGTTGGTGCCAATGTCCTTTTCAGGTAGGCATTCCGATGAATATGTGTATTTTGTTGATCAAAACACCAGCAAATTGTATATATTACCCCTTTACGGCTTAAATCCTATACTATGTTGTCATCACAATATGGATCTAGATGTATCCTATTTACAGACTGATTTTGAAACACATATATTGTTGTTTAAAGACACATTACTTTGAGTATTATTGATGTGTACATTGGTTAGATACTCAAGACCCACTAACAATGTAGAGCTTTTGGAAAATAGAGACATTAGGATAAAAAAAAAAAAAAAGACAGAGGGATAAAACCCAGGGACTGTCCCTCCTATATAGTGACACTTAAGAGGTATGACAATTCAGCTGAACAGGAAGAACTCAGAAAAGTCCAATACTACACTCGTGCAATAGGCCAACAATAGTAATGTGTGCATCTGTCAGATTCTGCCAGTTTTTGCATTTCATTTGTAATATTAAAAAAATAAAACATTTTGGTATGAGGGGTTTTTTGAATGGTAAATTGTGGGCGATTTAGAAATGGTAAATTTTTGATAAGGAAACATTAATAAATTTGAAAATATTGCGAGAGTTGAGTGAGGAGATCCATTAACTAAACTTTTGACTTTATTTGCAGAAATATGCAATAAAAATTTATAAAATAGCCTTCGTTGAGAACCCCCCCCCAAAAAAAAACCAAACAAACAATGCATTGAGTTCCTTTTCCCGTCCTTAACCACCAGAACTAAGTGAAGTGAAACAGTGGCCTACTTGAAATCTTTTCTAAGATTTTTTGTTTTTTGGCACACAACTGCAGAAATTAGTTTGATATGTGGGATCTAAAATAGTCATTACCACGAAACTGAGCCAGCTGAATACGTTCATACTCAAGAGATTATTTGTAAGACTGCTAGGTAGATGTTGCTTAAAAATAATATTTGTGTGTGACAGTGACCTTTTATGTGCCAGTTTAATGCAAATTACACATATTTAATCAGTGTTCCATTAAGCAGCTAACACGTGAGGTGGGGGTGGAACAGGTGGATGTAATTCTAGACAGTGAGTTGTAATTATTCCCTTTATAGAATGGTTCTAATTATATATTTTTCTGTAATTGATGTTAAACCAAAGAACAATTCTAGGGAACCCGTGTTTATATATATTTATCTTGCCTCTGTTATGCTTGTCATTCCTCACCTTCTAGTTCTTGAGATCCTAAACAGATTTAAAGAGCCATTCCTCATTTTACATTCTTTTCACAACAACTCTATCCTCCAGAAACGGGTCATATCAGAGATTATATCTCAAGAACCACTAGGCAGAAATATTATTACAGGGACATACCAATTCTCCCCTAAAACCTTTAAAAAAATAAAAATATAAAGGAATAAGCACATGAGTGAATAACTAGCACAACTTAAATAAAGAATATTGTGACATACCACCCTGTCACACAGGAATCATAACCAAATTATAGCCCTCTACCAAAAGTGCCCTATTACGATAAATTCCCAGCCATGACAAGTGCCCTTCCTAGCATCAGAGGCACGAGAATGGGGATTATGCAAGTCAAAGACCCTATACAAGAAGCCATCAGGAGGCTCCACCAAATGTGAGTGGCTCCACTATTCCTGACATTTAACATACTACATTATATCAATGTTATTGCTCTGTTTTTCATTTACCTGGACTATGCCTTATTGGACCAAGACTCCACATTTATACCAACAGGCAGGGATTGTACCAATCAATTGCCTAGTGCATAGCTCCAAACATTGTAAGTGTATTTCTTTTCTTTTTTTTATATCACAAACATTGACCTACTACACTATATTCACTTCCTTTTTGTCCTCTGTTTCATTTCCTTATCATCTTGGATCTGAGGACCCCATCAACATGCTGCTCCCTACTTTTTTTTTTTTTTTTTACATCATACATCAGTGACCAGATAGGTTAGACTCTGGTTCAGGTTGTTCAAGCTGCCTTCAACATTCAACAACAAAAACTAGAAAGCTACCTATCTCTATTTTGTATGTGATATTAGAATGAGTCAATGCATGCAGATATAATTTCTTTAGAGAATGAACAATATGCACACCAGAGGCAGCATGGTAGTGTCATGAAATTATGGAGGGACAATCATTTTAAAACCAATGTACCCACTGTGTCTACATTTTTTATTCTAACTGCAGACTGGAATTTATGAAGGAGATGCTTCTGGCAATTGACTAGTGGTTTTATGATCAACATACATAGGATAATTGCAATTCAGATACCAGATTTATGCATATTCAACTTAATAGAATTTAGTCCTATGTTATTTAGTTTATGCCCATGCCTGGATTAATAGCGTTATTGTTAGATTGTCAGGCTTGTAGAGTGTTGCTTAATGCTAGCACACCTTAATGCCACTGCCACTGGTGTACAGAAAAAACATAAATGTTCACATCATGCAAGCTATAGCAATAGAAACCCGCACAGGAGGATATCTGTAATAGCTGCTAGAAAATGCATGTTCTGTATTGGTAAAGACACATTTTCAAAAGCTTAGCATCAGAGTGTGGATCTAATGCAATATTACTCATAAAGATTACATGCTGCTTAATGCTATCACAAAATGTATTATCTTCTTTGAAACATTACAACAAAAGGGAGACATTGTCTTCTGTGTCAAGAATCTCTTGTGACCATGACTTTTCACGCAGCCACCATTCTGTCCCACATTCATACACTGCCCTGGACATTCTGTTCATTCATACACTGCCCTGCTATACAGTTGAATTGACTTGCGTCATTTCAGGCATGAAGAATCAAGCACTCCAACTTTGCATATGTGCACTAGGGTTTTTCAACGTAGCTTCAGCGTTGCATAACTGGCACAAATACTAAGATTATTTAAGTCTTAGACCACTCAGGGATCATATCCTTTTCAAAGTTTTGACAGCCATGATCTAAAGAGTGTTCTGACCTGGCTTGTTTATTGCCACCCTGACCAATATAATCTTTGACCTTGGTTTTCCTTAATATTTATTATATATACAAACACTGAATATATATTTATTGATATGACATGCACAAAATAATTATATATTTTAAAATGCATCAGTGGAGGTTATAATAACTGTACAGATCAGCCAACAAATATCAACTTGCTGAAGAAGCGTCTCCTGTTAGATGTGAAACGCGAACTTTCTTGCTTAGCAGTGACCCCCTGTTCTTTGTTTTGTCTGTATTTGGATTTATGTTCCTTGTACATTACTTTGTTTTCTGCCTGTTGTATTTTTAATATCTTTTTCCACAATAAATGAGCGACTATAAGTATTATCCCCGTTCATTACTCGAGTGTGCAAGATATTCCTCATTTTTCATTCATCTAGATTTTCGTTGGAACATGGTTCATTTGCAACGGATCATTCATATATTTACACACCCAATTGCTTTGTGAGTGTTTTTTTTTTCATTACTATCTCTTTAATTTGGTTTTCCCCTGCAACATACATTGGGGAAGCAGCATTTTTGTAGTTTTATAATAATTGCACAACCAGTTCAGCCAACAAATATTAACATTTATTCAGATTACAATTTGACAATAGCTACTTTATTCCAGAGAAGAACCAGTCCCTATTCCTATTCCCTAATCAAGAGAGATGTTTCACTTCTGATTTAAAACATTTTTAGAGCTTGTGTATGATTTAAGTCCCAATTCTCTGAATGGATTTACCTTTAGTGACAGATTAATTAAAATGTGATTGTAAAGAAAAGTAAAGTGGAATATTGTGACATATATTTCTGACTATCCTACTTCTTTGTGCTTATTAATTCAATTTCATATATGAATATAAGGAAACATTATGAATTTGATTTAGGGAAAGCTTAAAATACTGTTATAAGTTGATATTTACTAAAATTTTTTAAATTTATTTTTTAAAGATGACTGTGGCATTAGCTTTTTCATATAAATCCATGAGGAACCCTGTCAGTAAAGATTAGGAAATTGATGAAGTAATCAGACAGGAGGGATACAACTGTCCTTTAATGTATTTGATGTGGGGTGGGATAAAAGCCACAACAATTTTGCATGTTACTGCATTTATAAGCAACTGTGTGCTGGGAGACAGGGACAAGTGACAACAAAAAGTTGATTTTGTTTGTTTCGCAAAAATGTAAACACGTACTGTAAAGATGCAAACGTTTCCGCAAGATAAAAAAACAGAAGCTTCTGCACTACCCTAATCCTGAGTTAAGCATTGTTCCTCATCCCTAATCCAGCCTATTTTATTGAATTCCAAATATGTATGTCTAACATAAATAAAAGGCTGTGAAATAAAGTTGGATTATAAACTCTAAACAGTGCAGTAAAATAGATTTGATAAAAAAAGAACTGAATTCACGTTATTGTAATGTAATTTTTTTTTGTTTGTATGATTTTGTATACATTCAATTAATTATTTTTTTCTTCTTCTCTCAGACTAGTCATTACTTTACCCACTTAAATACATTCTCACTGAACTTGTGAGTGGTAACACTATTAATGAGCCCGGCTGTGATGATAACGTGTGGCTTTACCAAGTGACTACACATTCAATTCAAACAATTTACAATTAAGCATAAACTTGAAGATGTGCTTAAAAGGGCAAAGAACAAAACATGCCACATCTAAAGAAAAACCATCTACTGCTACAAGCACACAATTACAGTCATTGATTTTGTTGTTGTTTTTTTCTCTTCAAACTTAAAAAAGCAACAATTTTCTTAAAAAACACCACTACACGACAATACCATACATTGGAAGGCACATAACAAGAAAACACTTTTTATTCATTCATAGATGTCCCTTAATTACAGGTGTATCCCTCCCCCATCCCTTTCAGCCCTAATTATTGGAGATTAACAACGTTTTCCTTGGAGGTTGTGAAAAAAAACAGCAACATTTTGAATGCTCCTCCTATTCTGAAAATATGTGTGAAAATAATTTACTCTAAGAGTCTACTATCGCTGGGCATTGCCTGGCTAGTAATAGTTCTGATTAGACAGCCAAGCATACATTCTTTTAGTTTTGTAAAAAATAATCTTGCATGTGCAAAGCATATTGAAATGTAAAACCAGTTTAAAGTTTATGTGAATACATGATGGAAAGCAAATTCAATCATGTGAATCCATGTCCTTGCATCATAATGAGTTTTTGGTGGAACTGTTGGAAAATAGATATACTTTTAGTACTCTATACTGTCCTTTTTGCTTTTTTTTTTTTATTTTTTTGCAGAAGTCACCCAACATCAAAAGCAAAAAGCCCATTCATTTTATATATCCCATGCTGGGATGCTGACTGTGTTATTGGATGCTTTATTGTCTAAGTCTTCAACTACCAGACCGTGATGGGCAATCTTTCCACTTCTTAAAGAAAACATACCAGTCTTTGCAGTAGTACTATTACAAGAATCCGAACCTTGAGCTGAGTCGCTAGGCTGCACTTCCACAAAAATCCGGTTCCGTACTCCAAAGAGAAAACCACTGTTTTTCCTCTCTGAATAGGTCTCCTTATGCTCCATTTTCATTGAGCAGAACTGTACTTTGAAGGCTTCTTGAAACCCCCGTCTGAAGTTTTCATTGAAATATCCATAAATGATTGGGTTGACACTGCTATTGAAGAAAGCCAACCAGTGGGCAAAAGGGAATACATAAACAGCAATCAGATTGAGCTGGTGATCAGTGAGTTTTCCGTAGTCTGTGAGTAGCATTAAAGTCCATAGGGGAAGCCATGAAAATGTGAAGAACAAAGCTACTATGATTAGCATATTGATTACTCTGATTTTTCTCTTAGACACTCTACGTCCTTCATTTTCCTCAGACACGGATCCACGGATGGTGGCAGATGACTTGAAAAGTTTGAAAGCAATACGAGCGTACATAAGAACAATCAAAGTGAGAGGGGCCAAGTAAATATGAGAGAACAGAACTGTGGTGTATATCTTACGCATTTCTTTATCTGGCCAGGCTTCCCAACAGGAGTATAACGGATAATAGTTATTGTAGTCATCAACCATGAAGTGATAGTCATCTTTGGTCACTGTCAAAGTAACTGCTGAAGGGCACATAATGATTAGAGCCAAAATCCAAATAACAATGATGGTAATTATAGCCTTCTTCAATGTGAGCTTTTGCCTGAATGGATACACAATACACCGGAACCTGCCAGAGACAGAGCAGAGTAAAGTTATTTAGGTATATAGAATCAGAATTATGTAATAGCATCAAGAGAAATATACTTGTATAATTACTTAAAGATGAAACCTATTTTGGTTAGTTTGGTCACCTAAATATAAGAGCTGTTTTGCCATTTCTGCAGTGTTTGTTTCACAATTATCTATTTTTTTCTCATGTAACTTACCCACACGGATTGTTTTTAAATGAGAGATAGGATTTCTCTTTTCATCCTACACATATAAAGAACTTCTCATTTAGTATTAAAAAAAATATTAGAAAAACCATAGTGCAAAGGTTTTGCCTATAATTATGTGTACATAATTGGTGCAGCTAAAGAAAGTAAAAAAAATTACATTATTGTTCTGAATTCCAGGGTACATCACATGGCTAGAACATTTTTTGCAGTGCAGAACAGCATGTGATCGGACAAGAAGGAGGGGAATGCAGTCTTTTCTGACCACACAAGTCACTCTCTCTTATTGGAAGAATACCAAGTGATGTTGTGGAATACTTCAATAGATTATTTTTCAACTATATTTCCTGTAGATGTGTGCTCCTCCACTTTGGAAATTTTACACATGTAATTGTTCAATGTTGAGCTATTCATAATTACCCCCACTGAAGGAGAATAGTTGCAGGTTTCTAATGATACTTCCATCCTTTGGCATAGAAACAGAAGAAAATTTTGGCTGGTGTCAGCCTTTCCTAACAAACCCAGCATCATTCAATAAGCATATATTAAACCATGCCATTTCTAGAAAAAACTTTATGAATGTCAGTGGGGAGGCTATAAGTAGACTATACAGGGCCTAGTTAAACTATCTGACCTCACCTTTTAACATAAACATGCAATTACATAAATAGGACATGAAAATTAAAAGAACTTTCCACTGACACCTTTCACCTGTTTGTTAATAATGTCTTTTTTTTTCAAAGCTATTGAAGAGGATAACTGACTTTTACAATAGGACTTGTTTTTCTCACCTGGTTTAAGCTGTAACACATCTGATTTTAAAAGCCATGCCAACATTATTGGGGTTATCTTATGCCTTTCATTAAAGTGACACTATGATTAAGTATTGTTTATGCACCATCCTCAAACAATGCACAGCTGTATATATTGTGTTGGTAATTCTGTCTTTTTATAAAATCCAAATAAATATTCCTATCTTACCTACTGCCTGGTGGGTATAATTAGTTAGATAATTATAATAAGATCCTGTGAGGATTATTGTTTTACAACCTTTGTATTTTGCGTTGGTTGATATGCAATACTGATGGCTGTGTCACAAATGAAGTATCTTACTTAGGGAGCATGTTTTGTGAACAACATATGGAAAAAACAGTAATGAGCATTGACTAAATTTCTTTATTTGTACCTGTCAAATATTAAGATGGCAAGCATAACTGTGCTCGTTTAATTTACAAAATAAAATACAATCTTCACAAAATAACATATTTAAAGAACACATAACTATTATGTATTTTAATATGTGGTCAGCCAGTGTCATAGATTATTGTCTAATTTGTGAATATATATTCTCAGTTAAGGATTGTATTAACTGTCATTTTATTACTAAGCTACTACTGTTTTTTCTAGTACATACCATAGAATGCAGGGCTAAATTAGTACAATGTGCCAACACTTTTTTTGGTAGTTGTAATGACACTTAATTAGTATCTGTGATGCATTTAGTGAGAAAAATGCTACAAAATATAAACAAAAATATATCATAAACAGGGCTCAAAACCTTCATTGGCCCACTAGCTAAAACCATCAAAATAAAATGATTTGGTTTTGATATTTTGCAGTGTATATAATTTTGGTAAACTAAATACAAGAACGGTTTTCTCTTTGTCTTATATGCTAGGGCACTTCGTTACTGTTTGTCTAGACTTGTAAGCATCTTTATTTTTTTTTGTCAATCTTTCTTTTATTGAGGCATGTGGTTATGGTGGTACAGAATAAAGAGAGGGAGACTTGCAGGGGTTATACAGGTTAGGATCATCATAACAAATTACAAAATCTCCTAGGATTATCATCCTCATTTTATATTATATAAACAAGCTTAGAACATTGAGTTGTGAAAACAGGTGGGCTGTAATCTATGTCTTAGTTATCAAGCTTAATTAATGTAACGTTGATACACCAATTTAAATGTGAGTATATCCTGCAAACAGGCTTGGTTCATGCGTTAACTAGATCAGCAGCAACATAGATAGTACCTATAATGCAGTAAAAATGCTAGCGACCCTATTTAGCTAGTGCACCTGTACCTATGTGATGTCAAACAGTTCGTTTGTTCCCAGTAACCTGCTAGGGTAGAGTCGCTTATTAGTATATAGTGGTTGCGCCTAAGGTTATAGATATTCTGTGCAGTGAGTTACATGAGTGAATAATGACATCCTTTGTGGTATAGACATTGCAATGTAGTCTGGCACAGTCTCTACATTTGGGCCTGTAGGGGTACAGTCAGTCTCTGGGTCGGTCCACCTCAGTCAGTTGATGCCGGCTCTGGAGGTTTTGGCAGGTGGGTCTGGGACATTGGCAGGTGTTGTTCTTAACAGGTTTAGATTAGTCAATCAGGTACAGTGGGGTGTTTCAGTATGTGTGTATAGATAG